TAAATGAGATTCAAAATTCTATAATTACAGACCATAGCCTATTAACTTCCAAATACTTAACAAGAAGTTGCTTTCAACATACATGTCCATGCTTCAAACCAAAATGCACGGAGTTGCAAGACTTATGTGCGCAGTATGAACAATAACCAAATTAGGTTCTAAGTCTTTAGCCGCGCATCTGTACAACAAGACAAATAAATTCAATATATCTATTTGGCGATCGGGGACTATACTTACAAAATACATACTGGCCGCGTCAAGAAGCAAGAGGGTGGTGTTGAAAAGAGATAAATTTGGTTGAAAATTGCACGGGATGTATTTTTGGTGGCAGTTTATTAAAGGGTGGTGCTGAATACAGGTGACCGATAGACCAAGTTAGACTGTAAATGAACATAAACAGTAAAAAAAGGAAAATGATATAAAATGGAGTTATACGTCCTACTTTTCTGCACCATGTGGGCTAATGAAGACGGGCAACACCATGCAGGGTGCAATGAGGGGAATTTTGCCAGGACAGCGGCATTAGCCGGCTCTTTTTCGATTTCCAACTGTCGAGGGATCTTTAACGTGCACAGCCTGTAGCACACGGGGCCTCGGTTTATTGTCTCATCCGAACGACTAGACGCTTTTTCCATGTCAGCCCCCCTTACCTGCATCACTGAGAGGGGGAAACCGAGTTGAAAAATCCGAAGGTATTATCTCGACCTATGCCGGGATTGAACCTTGGACCTTCAGGTTAGCGAGCATGCGTCTAAATCACCGAGCCACCGAGGCTCCCTAGTAAAATAAGGAAACATGTGTTGAATTGGCTAAATCGGTACAGAGAGACCAGACTGGCAATTGGCAGTTCCTTGGATCGAATGCTCGAAGGGCTTGTAATTGTAAGTTCTCGAAGAGGATAAAATTAATGACTGACCTCGAACAGATAGTGATGTACTCGAGTCTTCTTCACGTTTCCCGGCGTCCGGGTACATTTTTGGTCGCGTAAGATCGCAAATGGTCGCAGTCCGGTGTGACGGGGCTTTAACAACTGTCAAAATGAAATGTAGATCTTGCCTTACAGTCTTTAGACTCAAGTATTTTTAAACATGTTGGCCTTTTCCCTTAGACTAACAAATTATAAAGATTAGAATTATTTAAAAATATAACAATGGAAATTTTCTAATGGACAGAATCTGCTACAATCAATTGGTCATGAATTTCCATGAGTTATATAAATTTAATTCTTCGTTAAAATGATTGTATGGAGGTATATTCAACACTCATATCATCTTTTAAAAAATCTCTTACAATCTTAAATTTCATATCCCTTGCTTCTATTATTTTAATTTAATACCATACCATTCTTATATAGTAAATTATAATACATATAAATCAGAAAAGGTCTTGTATTATAACAGGGAGTCATGCTTCACTTTTCTATGATAATTGCAACACCATGCAATGTCTTTCTTGGATACCTTTTTTTAGATTCTCTTTTAGTTATCTTTCAGTCTCTGAGAGGTTTTTCAGGTGATTCTATGTGGGTTGGAGTGTCTCATACTTCCGATGTCCGGTTTATGTGGTCTGATGATTTTGAATATCAATCTTATAGTTTCTCCTCTTTAAGTAGTACATATTATATATATTATAATTCATTATATCCGGAATTACATCTGATAACCACATTATGAGTCATTGAACTACTCAAGCATGTCCCACGTTTTAGTTTTATTTTAGAATCCGGAGTTGACAAATTTTCTTAAAATAGAGGCAAGTAATTGTGGGACATCGTCTGACACCCTGATTCATGGGTGCCCATCGTTTATAAGAACACCTTTTTGTTAGGTCTTCAACAGTTACCTTTTTGTTTTCTGAAATGTGTTTGCGAGAAGCGGCTATGCTATCATGTTACAATGTTTATGTTCTTCAGGCAATAATCCTTGGTGATATTTATTTGATGTGATAGTTTTCTGCTGATAGACAGTTTATTTTGTGACTTGTATTTTTAAGTAATTGGAATAATGTTAATGTAGTTAGTTATATTAACATAAGAACTCTTTTGAATGTCACAAACACAGAAGTTATATTCATTCTTGAACGTAACTTTGTTGCAGTCACTGAGGCATTAGTAAAGAAACGAAGCAATTGGTAGACTAGAAAAGATAGTACTTGAGCAGTCATTATGAAGTCCAAAATACTTTGCTTGGTGTTAATATTTGTGATTCTAACAACGACTATCTGTGAATCTAAGAGGTTTATTAAATTACCGGGTTCCGTCATTAGTAAGTTTTTACAACTCAAATATACTTCATATATACTGTACTATTCTCACATGTTTTTAAAATGGAATTATAGTCCAGGTATATAACATGTAATATGTATTTTTATACGTCGTACATTGTATTTCGGTATTATAATCTCTTATGATCTATAATCAATGCACTTCATATGACCTCTCCCGTACCCACAGAAATATGAAATGAATGGATCTTTATCGTGCTCAGTTTTTTTTTCTTTGTCAGCATCTCTGACCTGCATCACTGATAGCCTCTCACTGTCCTTAGATATTTTATGGTTATCATACATTGTGCTTTACCAATTGTTGCAATATTTTGGTTAATTCACTTTTTGGCTCGTTTTATGAATGTTTTACGATAGATTCAACCGACACGGTTGCTTATATTTTAAACGGAAATTTCAATTACTGGTAACATTTATGATTATTATAACAACGAAGCCCGACTTCTGAGTGTGGTCTATTTGATGCTTTTGGCTTACTGGTAAAGGTTTGGTCAACTAAATTATAACAAAAACAGGTAAATGATAGTCAACTGTTCGACTTTATTGGTGAATTGCCATGGGTAGAATAAGATGTGGATGACTGATGTCAATTCAACAACAACGACATTACTTACAAAACTTAGACCTTCTCCAAGTATCATATTACAGAATAATCCGATCCCAATTAACTAGTATTACATTTTCATTTCAGAAAGTCTTTACAGACTAAAAGGTTCTTTACATATTTTAAAGGCATATTGTGCTATCTTTAGGCGTTTAAACAAGAAACCTCCAAGAATTTGTAATGTACGTCTGCTTGGGTGATGATGGCACAACATGAAATGAACATGGTGATGGAAACAAACAAGAATGTGCGAAAATTTTACTTCGCCAGGATCAGGGTTTATATGGCGACTAAATATGAATTGGAATTAACCAAGAAGATAAATTCCGACTTGATTATTTGTCTCGAAAGCATGAATATAACAACGTTAAAGTGTTGGAAATCTTATCCAATTGCTCTGACTATGGATTCAGTGTCTGTTTCACTCTGTGATGACATCATGGATTATTGTCAATTAACTTGAAATACTGATGAAAATATGTGAATTTGGCACTTTTCATAGACGTGTAGACAATATGTAGATAACTACTATTTTTGAAGTTGCTTATCCAATTTACTTTTTTTTTTTTAAAAAAAGGGTGTGGAAATGCATAGATTTAGCAAGATATTTGAATACCTTTTTTCAGTTATTGCCCATGATTTCGCCAAAATATTTGAAAATTGGCTTGTAAATGCGATATGGCCAATGAGCTTTAATTATCGGTCAGAACGTGGCTGTGAATTGGATAGTGTTTTGAATAAAATTTTATAAAGAAATTATATTCGTATGATTGCGGAAGTTTTACTTAAATTTGAGGTATATTTCACATATAATTTTATTCCCGCCTTAGGCATTAGGTTACCTATGATTATATTAAAACATTTTTCCGTTTTGTTTTGCTATAGGGCATTTATTATCAACTAGAATATGATTCGTAATACAAAACCACACGTTACAAACATAAAAATTGATTTTTGACGGATTTTCATATCCGTTTGACTAGATTCTATGCCTGTAGCGCTCAAATAACTGACTTTGGAAGTTGAAAGTAGAAACACATAATACAGTTTCATATAGTTTTATTGGGATATATCTTCAAATATTTCATATACATCTATAGTAATAATACATTCAATGTATCTATGTAACTCAAAGATATTTAAATTCTGTTTTTGGACACTTCTTTATATCATTTGAACACCAATAATTACTATAGTTGTAGTACTAAATTTAAAAAAAGATTAGTCACAATTATGACGCTGAATATTAAGAGTACTGTTACAAAATATAAGGAGGCGAGAGGACATTCTACTCATTATCATTTATCAAAATTCATCTGTGATTTCCAAAATTTCTGGCTACTGAGTTACATAGAAATTTTCAGGGAAATACAACTGCGGGCATCAGCAGTTCAGATTACCTTTTGTTAGTTTTGATAGTTTCTTTTCATGTCATCATTAAGGGCCTGTAATTCCAAAAGACCAGAATTGGCTGGATTATAGGGTTTTTTGTAGAACAAAACAATCTTTAACAATAACATTAATAGCACTAATAACAGATAAAAACAAATATTATAAACACACATCTCATATAAAATCAACAGAAGAATAACATCTTAATTTATCTCACAACTAAAAATTCATTACTATTATGCCATTTCAGTAAATTTTCCAGTTAAATTCTCAAATTGTAAAATACAGTTCCATTATCAAGAACCTTAAAATTAAAATTTAATGCATTTTTTGCCATGTTGATGGTAATCTTTGGTTGTACTCAGTGAACTTTGAAAGTCTGGTAACCTTGTCATATTTCATTAATATTACAGCTGATAATCCTGGAGAGATCATTGCCAAGAGGTTGATCAAGGACAACTGGTCTTCATGAACCCAAGTTGTTATCCTTGTAAAAAATGATTGCTTCCTTCTTTCTGAATATTTAAACAATTACAGATGAACCAGTCATCAGATTCTCATTCTCAAAGTGACACAGGGGACTTTTACCCCTTTATGATATATTTCAAAATGCTTCAAATTGGGAACACAATCCAGAAGAACATGATTTTTAACAAATTTTGATATCTTGAAATATCACAGGTACCAACTCTGAAGGAATGTTGTCAACTCAATTTTAAAGTCACTGATCACATGTTTCATCATCATTATTCTCATCTTGATCTCCTACCAATGTGGAGGCATCATCATCATCATCATCTTCTTCTACATCAATGCAAGCATTATACATCTTAAACATATTGACCATTTTATTTTGTAAACTCTGTGATTCACCTACATTTTGAGCATCAAATTCCAATATGGCTTTTAATTTGTGCTCATCTGAACCAACATTTGAATTTTCAGATTCAGATATCGTACATTTTCTATCAAATAAGTTCAAAAGGGCGAGTTTATTGGGATCACTAGCAGGTTCAGACTCTTTTTCAAATTCCTTTGGTTGTTCTTGTTGAGCAAGTTTCAATTCTTTATCATAATTTTCAATAGCAGCCATCTTAGCTGGATCAGACACATATTCTTTAAAGGGTTCTTCTGTTTTGGACTCAGTTTGAATCTGTTTTTTAAGATCTTCTATGCTTGTGTGAGGGCCGTCACCAGACTGTTGCTGATCATACATCATCTGTAATCTGTAAGGTATAGATTCGAGAGGCGGGGTTCCAGGAGAGGCGTTTTCTTTTAATACACTATCTTTGGAAACAGAGGCCATGTTGCCTGCCATGTTGCCATCATGTCCACTAACAACTGAAGTATGAGAGAGGTGGTCATAACCTAGAGAACTAGTTGTTGAAGCTGAAAAGACAATACTTGTAAAGTTAAGTGGAAGTAAAAAAAATGCACACTATACTCACAAATACACGTTTGACGTTATCAAAATTGTTTTCATAGACCTGAAATTTTTTTTTCAGCACAGTTTTTCAATTGTACAAACATCTTTGAATTTACAACATGTGGAGGTAAAAATATTGGACATAGTTCAATTGAAAGATTTGAGGTTCACAAAAATATTCTAAAAACTTACAGTAAACATCCATAAATTTCTTCTGATTTTTTTCCAAGTTTTCTGCCACCTATAGGATATAAAAATATTTATGCAAACTATACATAACTTATTCGAAATGCTATCCAATTACAGATACCAAATCTTCTAAACGATAAATATGTTGAGTCTATAACCGTGTTTCCACTAAGCTAGCTTAGGGCAAGTTTTACTGCCAAACGGGTTTAACTAGTTCCGGAACGATTTTCACCTCAATCACAAAGTCGCAAATTGTTGACAACTTGTGATGTACAAGACTACTATTTAGACCAGTAAGAAATGCAATGGACCAGAAAGACCAGTACGCCCCTTATTGCAGTTTATAGCGTAGAGCCAGCTTTACTGCCAAACGGGTTGCATTTACACTGAGTTTAACTGGTTCCGTAACGATTTTCACCTCAATCACAAAGTCGCACATTGTTGACAACTCGTGATGTACAAGTCTACCATTTAGACCAGTAAGAAATGCAATAGACCAGAAAGACCAGTGCGCCCCTTATTGCAGTTTATAGCTTTGGAATCAGAAAATATTTTCAATGAATAGTTAACTGGATATCTGCAAATAAAATTCATCTATAAACCAATAGTACCTCAGTTAATATAGTTAATAATAATTTGGGAGGTCTTCACCTCACCAAAACACATGTGGATTCTCCTAAATAGATGCTGACGAAAGATTTTTACAAAAGAATTACCTTATCAGTGTCTGGACGTTTTTTCTTGATTTGTGATATACAACTGACTGCCAATTTTAAAATATCAAATATTAAGTCTGTTGGTGGTGGACCTGCTTTATGATCATGGAATTTATCTACCCACTCATCTTGTCCTAATGGTTCTATAACATCAAAAAAATAATCAGCCTGAAAATAGAAGAATTAAAGAATTAATGATTGATTTTTCTTCAATATAACACCTTGCTGGTCCATTATCTTGTTATGATAAACCAGTATCTATTATTTATTTCATTCATTAAACAAGAACAACAAGATGCACACCCATTCTTAAATTTCAATTCACATAACTATTAGCAGTATTACAAATAGGTTCACTTTCTTATATTTTTAGTATGAATTGAAATTATATCAAAATGAGAAAAATAAATTCTGAAATCTTGACTTACTAGAAATTTACTGGAGGTTCTATTTTCATCACAAGCCGGCTGTCCAGATAAGGTCTCTAATATAACCTATAATTAAATAATAGTTTCATTCACAATAATATAAGCAATAAGGAAAGAAAAGCTTTCTAATACTATCAAATCACTGCAATGAACAGAACTTGAAGAAGCCAAAAAGAAAAGCAATGGACAAAGTACACTAGAACCTCTCCTCATATCATATCATTATCACCAGTGAAGCCCATGATCTCAAAGATTCAAAATTTATAATTTCTGCACCTCATTAAAGAAGTGACATCTCTTCTTTAGTTAAATGAAATGTATTTTGAAATCCAGAAAATAGTATTTCTAAAGAATGTTAAAAGTACAGATAGAATCACTTACCACCCCAAAAGCATAAATATCTGTTTTTATGGACATATTTTCATTTCCTCTGAGTAATTCTGGTGAGAGATAAGCTTTGGTACCATATAATTTGGATTTAGCATCTTTTTTGGTGATATGAGTTAGTTTACCAGTAATAGCTCCACTGTTAACATGCTGTGCCTGCCCTAAGTCTCCTATTTTAGCTTCATGGTATTTGTCTAGCAGAATATTGGCACTGTAATATAAACATAATACAATATAAATATCAGTGAATTAACTCTCTTTGCTGATTATATCCATGTATTTAATTTAATGTTAATGTTGATATCTCACTCTTGTATCTAAAGCCATTCAGGTACACTTTCATAGAATATTAAGTAAATGTACATAATGCATTCTTCTTTCAAACATTTAACATTTATGGGCTCCATTGGATAATTTTGCAAAACAATTAGATGAGACAAAATGAAAATTTGAATATTGCAATGATATTTAAGGGTATTTGTGAAGAATTGACAAATTAAGAATATATTTTTGAATTATCCAATGAGAATTCAGATTTGATGTTTAAATATTTTTTGTTCGTGGCATGTTCATCAGAACATTTGGAGATTTGGATTTCAATTATTAGGAATTGAAGCATTTGAGCAAATTAGTTGAGCTTCATAACACAAGCGTTTTTTTCTAAGAGTTAGGTTTGGGTGAAATTCTGTCATATCAAACATTACAACAGTCTATTGGGGGACTATAAATAAATCCTACCTCTTAATATCACCATGTATCAGTGGTACATTTCCCATATAATGTAAATACCTTAAACCACAAACAGCACCACATAATATACGTAATCTTTGTTCCCAATTTAATGCTAAACGACCATTCTGAAGTTAAAGATAAAAATGCTAGAAGACTAGAATGCTTAATTTTAATCAGCCACTGTTGAATCCTTGACTTGATACAATAAAAAAGTAGGCTGTTCATAAACTGAGCACATAAAAGTTTGTAATTATTTGGCAGAAAAATACAAACAAAAACTTGTAGCATGTATAGTGACATGAACCAAAATGAAATACAATAGTGAGCAGGCTTCCAAATAGTTAATAATATATACTCATACTACTGTCAGTACAATAATTTACTTCCCAAACAACATTTGAAGCCAGCAATAATTATAGAGAACCACAGTAAAATAAAACAGCTTCTATCTACCTTCATTTGTATACAATCTTCTAATGAACCATTAACCATGTGTTGATAAACTAAACATAATGATGGACCATCTACAGCGTATCCATATAATGTTACTATATTTTCATGCCGATATCTGAAAATACAAATAATATCACAGTGTCATTTTTATTCTTGTGTATAGGTATCAAGTTTTAGACTGTTCAAGGGGTTGGTGTGTTCATAAATTCATAAAAACAGGAATTGTGAAAAAATCATTTTTCCCAGTGTTTAACAATATATGGGTTTTTGCTGATAACATATGAAATCAATTTTGACTTTCTGTATATATCAGTAGAGGGAGTAGCCTAATCTTCAATATAATTATGTAAATATACAATGTAAATTGGTTGAACATTACCAATTCAAAATATTCACTTACTTCAATAATAAAGATAATTCACTACATAATTTTCTTCTTTTTTCTTCATTATTGGATAAAATATCACTGGTAGCCTGTAATAATAGTCAATCATTTTACCCCTTATAGAACTTGTTTTCCAGTTCTCTCCCTTACTGAAAAAAACTACAGAGCTTGAGTCACTGCCTTTTAAGTGATAGACTGCTGCCCCATAGTTATTTTCTAATGCACCTTTGTTATTTCTTGCTGACCACATAGAGATTCCCTATGGCCAATGGTCAAGCTGCTACTGCCCCTTAGACAACTTATTACATAGATCAATCTGTTATTGCCACTTGGTCAACTTAGTACACCTCTCAATCCAATCAACCTGTTACTGCCCACTTTGTTAACCTACAAGCACACTGTGGCATTCTGTAGTGCAATTATTTCTTAACTTAACTTTTCCCATTTCTTTATATCTTCTTATCTGATATCAAATTTGTTTTGGACTATATATTTCATGAAATACATTTAACAAGCAATTTTACTTACAGCATCTAACTTTTTGATAGCACATTTGCATTCTCTCAGACAGCTGAAATATACTTTGCCAAAAGCTCCTTCACCGAGTAAATTTTGCTCATTAAAATTATCAGTTGACTTTTTTAACTCTTCGAATTTAAAGACAGGAGATCCCATTAAGGCAACAGCTACACTCATATTACTATTAGTCAGCAAAGACTGAAGATCTTCAGATTGGGAGGAAGAGTTGTTAGTTAATGAAGAAGATTTACTGCTGGATAAATCTGCACTAAAACTTGAACTAGTAGTGGACTCAAAACTTTCTTCCGATTCCTGTGGTTTATGATGTGCCGTCTGCTCCTGTCCAGGAATAACTTTATCATCATATTGCTTATCTTTATCAATACTGCATAAACTTGTTGGATTTTTCTTTCTGCCAAAATTTTGTGAATTTGGCTGGTTGAAATTAACTTCATTCTCTAACAAAGCTACTTTATCCGATTTGATCTTCTGCTTTTGAGAGGGTGATGGGAGATCTGAAAAGATTGCATGTTATATTTGTATATTTTATGTGTTTAATATCACTTTTAAACACCTTCATTCTCTGTGAAAAATCACAAATTTTGTAAACCATAGTAGGATGTGAAAAACCTTGCAGAAAACAGGCATAAAAAAATTGTAATGAATAATTTTATATAGTTTAATAAAGAAATAAACACAAGATGCTCACCTGATGTTTTAAGACTAGGCATGATATCAATACTGTTATTATAACTATTGTGACTATTTTCTTGTTCTTCTATAGCACCAACACTAACAACTGTAAAATATGGATGGTGAAGATAAAAATAATTGAAATGATATGGAGTTAACATCCAACATTTCTGCTCCAAATTTCACCACAAAGCAGTAGCATTCTGGCCCTAGACTATGTATTTTTTTCAAACTGGCATACCAGTTCCTCAAACATGATATAAAGATGTTATGTTGTCTGGGTTATTGCCTGGAGTTGAGTCAGGTCTATATTTTGGTAGTTGTTAAGAATTTTCAACATGACAAAGCCAAATTTGTGGTAACTTTTTTGTTTTTCTATGAAAAGCTGGGCCAAAAACTCCATCTTAGAAGACAATACCAGAAAATCTACAATGAGGGAAGGGAAAACCATTCTCTTCTTTGTACAATTCTGTAAGTATTATCTTAGCAAGAATGTTGATTACTTACGGTGATTTTCTAAAATCTGTAATTCTCGTATCCTGTTAATTTTCTTCAGTTTGTAATATAATTCTTTCACAGTTGTATTTCGACTTCCCCAATCCCATAATAAGGCTTTTGCTGGACTTCCATGATGTCTCTGATATTCTAATTCAAATAATTTTATCTTATCAAATGAATACCCTGCCTCAGAAGCTAAAATGTCAAACATAACAAAACATATTGACAATAGCCCTTTACAAAGATTTTCCTTACAACAGAATTTTGATAAAGGTATGGGTTTGTCATCTGTTTGACCAACCATACCTTAGTCTCAGAAACAGGAATTCAGTAAAAAGATATTCAGTAATAGTATTCATAACTTACTGAAGAAATTTGAGCCTTCAAATGTATGTGTGGCCAGAACTATCTGTGTTTCAAAGTTAAAAAAAAAAAGACATATATTCTCAGTAATGTTTGTCTACAGTTTCTTATTCTTACATGGCCAAATAAAACAGTCAATAAGATCCTGTGTCAGTAAGTGTCACTCATTTAACTAAAGTCGTAAAAAATACTGATGGGAGTTCATTTGGCCTTCTGAGTTACAGATTTTAGGATAGTCCAAATATTATGTAAGAATAATCTTATTCGGAGCTACACAGAATATATTCAAAAATTACCTAGACATTCCCATGCTTTATCGGAATCCAATGACACTATTATCGACCTCGTCACACTGTAAGGAAGTTCGCTAATATAGGTATCAAAATGAGTTCCTTGATATATCTGCGCCATGATGATTATCAAACACAGAACAAGGAAGTGAAGGAAGATAAACAATTTTCGAATATCAAGTCGTAAATTTGAGTCTAATATTTTATTGGCATGTCTGGATAATATAGTCAGTATGCTTTTCATTGGTTGATTTAAATAGATTATTTAGAAGGGAAATTCCTCGAAAATCTATGACGTATTTATATCCTGTTGTAAGCTCCAGACCACAACTCTTTTTTTATCTGTCTACTTAAAGATTGGTTTCCTTTTTTTAGTGTCAAATTAAGCAAACTATTTGATTATAGTTATTACGCTATTAACGCTATTAGCGATTGGCTTAGCTAAAAAAAATTCCCATGTCTAAAATAAAATATTATAAATATAGGCCTCATATCCAAACTACATATCACATTTTTTTTATTTAGTATAAGGGTCAACTGACCTATAGATACATTAATACTAATAGTTTGTACAATATATACAGGTAGTAAATAGAAAATATAAGTTATAAATGAATATACAATATAAACTCACAATACATCGAGATAACAATTTGAACTTACAATACAGTTCTTAATATATTTAATTTCACTTTTATTTAAACTTACAATATATAATAATATTATTTAAACTGGCAGTACAGTACAAATCATAACATAATATGTACACTAACAGTACAATTCTTAATATAGAGTATAGAAATTGAGGACAACAAAAATTAAAGTTTCATTCTTAAGGCCATTGCTTCATCTAAATAGCGTGCGATTGATGTAACTTCTGTTTCGATGTACACATTCTGTTAAAAGTGTGAATATCTGGGCGATTAATAAATTGTCGAGGAGGGATTTCATTTCCAGTATATGAAAATGAGGACAAATTAAGACAAAGTGAAAAAGATCATCATTAATATGGTTACAAAATGGACAAAGTTGTATAGGCTACTCTGTTTTCTTCTAAACAAATTACAAGTTGTAGGAAATAAATCACATTGTTATTACAGACTGTGCATAAACTAAACAAGAATAAATCACATTGTTATTACAAACTGTTCATAAACTAAACAAGAATAAATTACATTGTTATTACAGACTGTTCATAAACTAAACAAGAATAAATCACATTGTTATTACAGACTGTTCATAAACTAAACAAGAATAAATCACATTGTTATTACAGACTGTGCATAAACTAAACAAGAATAAATCACATTGTTATTACAGACTGTGCATAAACTAAACAAGAATAAATTACATTGTTATTACAGACTGTTCATAAACTAAACAAGAATAAATCACATTGTTATTACAGACTGTGCATAAACTAAACAAGAATAAATCACATTGTTATTACAGACTGTTCATAAACTAAACAAGAATAAATCACATTGTTATTACAGACTGTTCATAAACTAAACAAGAATAAATCACATTGTTATTACAGACTGTTCATAAACTAAACAAGAATAAATCACATTGTTATTACAGACTGTTCATAAACTAAACAAGAATAAATCACATTGTTATTACAGACTGTGCATAAACTAAACAAGAATAAATTACATTGTTATTACAGACTGTTAATGAACTAAACAAGAATAAATCACATTGTTATTACTAAACTAAACAAGAATAAATCACATTGTTATTACAGACTGTTCATAAACTAAACAAGAATAAATCACATTGTTATTACAGACTGTTCATAAACTAAACAAGAATAAATCACATTGTTATTACAGACTGTGCATAAACTAAACAAGAATAAATTACATTGTTATTACAGACTGTTAATCAACTAAACAAGAATAAATCACATTGTTATTACTAAACTAAACAAGAATAAATCACATTGTTATTACAGACTGTTCATAAACTAAACAAGAATAAATTACATTGTTATTACAGACTGTTCATAAACTAAACAAGAATAAATTACATTGTTATTACAGACTGTGCATAAACTAAACAAGAATAAATCACATAGTTATTACAGACTGTTCATAAACTAAACAAGAATAAATCACATTGTTATTACAGACTGTTCATAAACTAAACAAGAATAAATCACATAGTTATTACAGACTGTTCATAAACTAAACAAGAATAAATCACATTGTTATTACAGACTGTGCATAAACTAAACAAGAATAAATTACATTGTTATTACAGACTGTTAATCAACTAAACAAGAATAAATCACATTGTTATTACAGATTGTTCATAAACTAAACAAGAATAAATCACATTGTTATTACAGACTGTGCATAAACTAAACAAGAATAAATTACATTGTTATTACAGACTGTTAATCAACTAAACAAGAATAAATCACATTGTTATTATTAAACTAAACAAGAATAAATCACATTGTTATTACAGACTGTTCATAAACTAAACAAGAATAAATCACATTGTTATTACAGACTGTTCATAAACTAAACAAGAATAAATCACATAGTTATTACAGACTGTTCATAAACTAAACAAGAATAAATCACATTGTTATTACAGACTGTTCATAAACTAAACAAGAATAAATCACATTGTTATTACAGACTGTTCATAAATTGTTATTACAGACTGTTCATAAACTAAACAAGAATGAATCACATTGTTATTACAGACTGTTCATAAACTAAACAAGAATAAATCACATTGTTATTACAGACTGTTCATAAACTAAACAAGAATAAATCACATTGTTATTACAGACTGTTCATAAACTAAACAAGAATAAATCACATTGTTATTACAGACTGTTCATAAACTAAACAAGAATAAATCACATAGTTATTACAGACTGTTCATAAACTAAACAAGAATAAATCACATTGTTATTACAAACTGTTCATAAACTAAACAAGAATAAATCACATTGTTATTACAGACTGTTCATAAACTAAACAAGAATAAATCACATTGTTATTACAGACTGTTCATAAACTAAACAAGAATAAATCACATTGTTATTACAGACTGTTCATAAACTAAACAAGAATAAATCACATTGTTATTACAGACTGTTCATAAATTAAACAAGAATAAATCACATTGTTATTACAGACTGTTCATAAACTAAACAAGAATAAATCACAACCACTTATTATCAATAAATAAATGGGACCGTGATATTTTTCACCTTATCCAAATATTCGTATCATGTGATGAATTTAAAAAAAAACGACTTGGTATTAGAAATTCAGTGGCGGCGCCAGCCTCCCGATATTAGGGGTACAAATCGAGGGCAGATTTATGCAATGGGGGACAACTGTCGAGGGCTGAATTCAAAATGCGGCAGAATCATAGTCGCAAGCAACTCATAATGCATCTGAGAGGGTTATCCCAAGAAAATTTTAGAAAAATTTAATTGATATGGTGCATTCTAATACAGGTGCACAAAGGAAATAAACATTTGGACAATTTTGTGGCTTCTGCTCGAGCTTGCTTTATTGTGGATAATCCGAGAAAGATGAAGAGGCATGAACCTAAGAACCTAATTACCCTTCACTTTCCAACTGAACCGATCTCACTGGACCTTTTCACCTTGTCATTGGTCAGTTTAGTAAGTCTTCAGTGAGTTTCATCACCAGTCTTGTCCGAAACGTTTTCTGGTGTTCATGGACGTAGAAGTACTCAACGTATTTGAAATAGTGGATAGTTTTTCTATTTCAACCCTTGCCATTGCCTGTAGTTATATTCTTCAGGTTTATGTGTTTTGGTATTTGATAGGGTAATTGGTACGGTTTAATGAAGTAATCGCAGCCATCTTGACTTTCTATTTCTTATGTTTTAAATAAAAAAAAATGTTACCTGATAAGACGTAGTCTCACAATATTCAGGCAGTGGAGAAACCAGTGAAGATAGGAACAAGAGTTATTGTACAGTTCTAGTACTTCTGATGACTATATTCTTAGGCGATTGGCCATTGGGCGATTTGCCCCTCAAGCCTGTGAAAGGTCAATCAATGGGCATTTCATGAATTTTTCCAATTTTAAATTTAAATCATTTTGCCACACCCCCATCTCCCCACCCATCTCTCGGGCATTTTGAGATAAGCCCCTGAAAATATTTAAGGCCTGAATTGAACTGTCGAATGTGTCGAGTGTTGACCTTTAAGGTTATGAAATGATTCTGAGTAATGCTGATTTCATGAGTTTCTGACTTTCCCCTAGAACTTGTCATCGGAGGTGGATGTCGAGGAATAACGCTCCAAATCAAAAGCATTCGTATTATGAGTAAAAATGTTAGATAATTCTGACTACAGACCACAAGAATAAAGTTATCTCCCTTTGACTATAAAAAACTACGTATAATTTCTTGCCACTGGCTAGAATTGAGAAATTGTAAGAAAACATGTACAGGGGCGTATCTAGAAAAGTGGGGTGCACCCTGAGTGAAAACGGAAAGACACCCAGCAAATTAATAAAAGTTATCACATTGAAAAGATCGTGCCAAAGAACTATGCCTAGGATTCTGGCACTTAAATTCGTTTATAACAATTGGAACAGTTTCTGAAAATTCAAACCAAATCTGCGCAATTCCAATCAACGCCTATTTATAAATTGTAGTGAAAGTGTCATTTTCAGTTAACAGAGACATCATCAAATCAGCATTGATTCAAAGTGATAAATATCAACTGTTGACTGTCAGTATAAGCTTAGTCCCACTATTAAAGTGATACTAGGTTTTCGAATGAACATAAAATTTAAGTTCTCAAGAATGGTCAATATGAGTATATAATTGGTGAACTTACCTGGTGTCATAAAGTTACAACACAATCCCTGTAAATTCCGGAAAATTGGAAAATTGATCAAACTAAGTAATTATTGATAAACGCTTAATTTTGTTAAAGCGTTTTTCAACAGTTAATTGCATATGGATATGGATAATTAGTAAGTTTTTTGGGGATTTATCGTATTATATAAGGATCCTGTTGTGTTATTTTGACAACAGGTATATCTAGGGCTACTGATGAATATTATGCTCTTATTGGCCAAGGAGAAAATTCTTAGATTTTATGTTCATTCTAAGACGTAGTAAGTATTCCTTTAAGGCCAAAGGCGAAAGGAGTTT